GATTAACTTCTTTCAATCTATAACTAAGGTCTGAGGGTCTGAGTCTTGAAAACCTTCCTTTGGAGCCTCAGTAAATTTGCTTAATTTAAGTGGATCCGGGGCTGGGGTGATTACCCTGATCTTGTCTCCTGCTATATCATGAAGGTTTGGGGAGTTTGTTCACACCCCAATAAACTTGTTTGTGGAGGCCTGGGGAGTTTCTTCAGACCACAATAAAACTTGTTTAATCCTAAATGGGTCCTGTTAAGAATTCCTTCGTGATTTTGTTATGCTTTAAGGCCCAGGAAAGGCCTAGGCAAAAGTCTTGGTGTGCTTTTGTTACATTCCAGCCTTTGTATAATGGCACTGGCTTTTAATATTTAACGTAGCCACTCAGTCAGTACTGAACCAGTTGTTATGGAGGCCTGCATTAGTGGGACCTGGCCTGCACATTTTGTCAATAATGAAGTCTCAAAAACAAACAAAAATCCATAAACACACACACACACAAAACCATCAACACTAAAGATCATTCTTGAGTCTGATTTGCAAACTAAGGTCCAAGTCTGCAGAGGCATTCCAGGAGCAAGACACCACCCTCATATCCAGATCCATATGTCCCATCCATCATGCCAGGGAAAATGCTCCATTCACCATGGCACAAGAGTCGCAGCAGGAGTTTTCCTACTCATCTGCTTCTATCCTTTAATAGAAAGTAACTTATCAGTCCTCAACTTCTGGTTCTGGTTTCAGAGTTCTCTCTGTATTGGAGGGGTTTTAATGCTGCAGGGGCTTTGACCCACTTACTCCTATTCACAGTTCTGAATATGGAGGTCAAGAGGGGAAAGTGACGTGTCCCAAGTCAGAGTCAAAAAGAAAACGAACAGCAGCTGAGCCCCTAGTGTATAGTGGGCACTGGTGAGCTACAGGGGCTATGGAGGTGATGAAAACACATCCCTTCTTCAAGGAGGGAGGGGGACAGACTCTTTGTAGGCAGGAATAGTCTTCCCTGCCACAGAAGGAAACTTGCAATCAGGGTAATGAGCCCCACCAGGGACAGTCCACCACGCTGCCCTGAGAGGATCGTGTGTGGACATGGGTCTGTGGCATGGCCTTGCCTTGACCCTCTAGCTGTGCTGTGGGGCCAAGTGGGGCCTCAAGTGGCCTGAGGAAGTGGCTGCCAGGAGCTCTATCTCCTTGTCCAAGGCCCTGCATAAGTAATGTCATTTCTATTTTCACAGCAAAATCAGACACACAGTTTTCTAGAACACGAGATGTCTCCTCTCCCCCTGGCCCAGGAGACGGTCTATGCTGGTTGGTGGGCCCTTGTTTGTGTTAGAGTCAGAACACTCCACAGAGTTCCAAGTGGTCAGCTGTGGCCCACAGGCCACTGGCAAGTGGAGGCAGAGCTGTGGAGCCCTCAGGAGTCACGGAGGGCCTGCTGCCCACCACACAATGCCTATTCAGCTGACCCTGGCCCCCCTGTGGGCAGCAGTGCTAGTGACATACAGAATCCTGGGACTACTGCCAGCGACTCTATGTATACCCTGGGTGGTCTGGGCATGCACTGCTCTGGTGGCCTTTATGGTCAGGAGATGACATGCAGTGAGAAGAAGAGAGGAGCCAGCACAAAGGGATTCAGCCCTATTGTGGGAAGTCAGGGATCCTGAATGGAGGGACTGGCTGAAGCCATAGCAGAAGAACATAAACTGTGAAGATTTCATGGACATTTATTAGTTCCCCAAATTAATACTTTTATAATTTCTTATGCCTGTCTTTACTGCAGTCTCTGAACATGAATTGTGAATATTTCATGGACATTTATCACTTCCCCAATCAATACTCTTGTGATTTCCTATGCCTGTCTTTAATCTCTTAATCCTGCCATCTTCTTAAGTGGAGGATGTATGTCACCTCAGGACCCTTTGATGATTGTGTTAACTGCACAAATTTTTTGTAGAGCATGTGTGTTTGAACAATATGAAATCTGGGCACCTTAAGAACAGGATAACAATTATTTTCAGGAAATAAGGAAGATAACCTTAAAGTCTGGCTGCCTGGGGGCCGGGCAGTACAGAGCCATATTTCTCTTATTACCAAAAACAGGTAAGAGAAATATCGCCGAATTCTTTCCCCAGTAAGTAATATTAATAATTAACAGCTCTGGGAAAAGAATGCATTCCCAGGGCAGGACCTCTAAAATGGTTGCCTTGGGAGTGTCTGCCTTATGCAGATGTAGATAGGGATGAAACATGCCCTAGTCTCCTGCAGTGCCCCCAGGCTTGCTAGGATTAGGAAATTCCAGCCTGGCAAATTCTAGTCAGACCGGTTCTCTGATCTTGAACCCTGACAATGTGTGCAGTGCACAGCGAGACGTGGAACTTCATTAGTGATTCTAGTTTCACCCTGACCTTCTGCTTTGTGATCTTTTGTCACCCTTGAAGCATGTGATCTCTGTGACTCACACCCTATTCCTACACTCCCTCTCTTTTGAAAATTGCTAATAAAAAGTTGCTGGTTTTACAGCTTGGGGGGCATCACGGAACCTGCCGACATGTGATGTCTCCCCTGGACACCAGCTTTAAAATTTTTCTCTTTTGTACTCTTTCCCTTTATTTCTCAGACCAGCTGACACTTAGGGAAAATAGAAAAGGACCCACGTTGAATATCAGGGATGGGTTTCCCCTGATACAGCCCAGAGTGAGGTCCATAAAAAAGGTCAGAGCCAAAATGCAGCCAGTACCCCAGGCCAGTGCTTGCCTCACATCACCCAGGCTGAAGGCCAGTCCTTGATCACCCCAAATGCTCTGCTTGAGAGCTGTCAAGGAAATGGGCAGTTCTTCCCATCAGGACCTAGGTGAACTGAAAAGAGCACAAAAAAGCAGGCCTCCTGACCTTCCTTGAGTGACTGAAGCAAGGCACATCCTGCATCCTTTACTGCATGGTAGAGAAGATATTCAGAGGTGAAGCATGAATGATCTGACTGACCATACTGACTGTCAGCAACCTGCAGAGCTGCCTGACCAAGAAATCTGAAACTGAAGCAGTACTTGCAGACAAAAAAGGGGAAGACAGAAAGGTCAGAGCAGGTCAAGGCAGGAATCAAACATGCCACAAATGTTGGAGTGAGGCAACTGACCTCCCTGGATGGAGTTGGAGACCATTATTCTAAGTGAAATAACTCGGGAATGCAAAACCATATATTGTATGTTCTCATTTATAGGTGGAAGCTAAGCTATGAGGACACAAAAGGGTAAGAATGATATAATGGACTCTGGGGACTTGGGAGGAAGAGCGGGAAGGGGGTGAGGGATAAAAGACTACACATTGGGTACAGTGTATACTGCTTAGGTGATAGGTGCACCAAAGTATTGGAAATCACACCTAAAGAACTTATCCATGTAACCAGGCATCACCTGTTCCCCAAAAACTTTTGAAATAAAAATAAAATAAAATAGTTTAATAGTTTCTTTAAAAAGTTAAACATACACCTATCATGAGATCCAACTATTCCACTGTAGGTATTTACCCAAGAAACAGGAAAACACATGTCCTTACAAAAACTGGAACAGAAATGACCATAGCACCTTTATTTGTAATAGCCAAAATATGGAAACAACCTAAATGTCCATCAACAGGTGAATGGACAAACAAACTGCGATATACCTGCACAATGAAAAACAACTCAATAATAAAAAGCAATAATCTACTGACACACCGTACAACATGAGTGAATCTTAAGCAAATATGCTGGGGCAAAACAGCCAGGCATAAAAAGAGTGCATTTGCTCTTTGTGTCCATTTACGTAAAACTTCAGAAAATGCAAACTAATCTCTAGTGACGGAAAGCAGATGATTGATTGCCTTGGTGGGAGAAGAGGAGCAGGAGGTGGAATTTTGAAGACTTGTGAGGAAATTTGGGGCTGATAAATATTCCTGCTTTCTTGATCATAGTGATGGTTTCATAGGTATATATATATATGCCAAATCTTGTCAAATCATACACTTTAAGTATGTGCAGTTATTATACTAAGCACACCTCAATACATCCTTAAAAATACAATGGCTTGAAACAACAGTTATTTTATTGCCTCTCATGAGTTTTTGGTTCAGGAATTCAGGCAAAGCTCAGCTGCACTATGTTTCTATTCCAGCAGCATTGACAAAGGACAGGCACCCTATTCATTAGCATCTGGGTTTTCTGGAAGCTCCAAGACAGCTCCACTCACATGTTTGGTGACTTTTCAGGGCAGCTAGGAAGCTGGAATCAGTTGGGACTGTTGACCAGAATGACCACACGCAGCCTTTCCAACATGGTGGTATCAGGGTTGTCCAGGTTCTTGCATGGTAATTCAGAGCTCCAGAGGCAGTGTTCCAAGGTGCTCATGCAGAAGACACAAGCCTTCTCATGGCCCAGCTTCAGGAATCTCTGGACATCACTTCCATCCTATACTATTAGTCAAGCAAGTCACTAAAGCAAGGCCAGATTCACAGAGGAGGAGAATTAGACTCCACTTCTCAGGGTCTATTTTTTTCCCACTACAATAGCATGGTAGAGTGGAAAGAACAGGAGTTAGACATAAAGATCAACTAATCCTACATCTGCCACTGCTAGCATTATGGCTTCAGATATATCATCCAATCTTATTCAGACTCAGTTTGCTGACATATGAAAAGGGAATAACCAAAAATACTCATAGAACGGTTGTGAGCAGTAAACCCTCAGACACGATCCATTCTTTGCCAAAATAAAACAATCAATACACTGAGATTTCATTGACTAGAGTCGAATGAGTAAAATGAGTACTGACTAACAGTGCTGAACTCAAATTCCAGCTCCTATCATTCTTGCTGGATGACCTAAGCAAGTCACTTCACTTCACTGAGCCCCGAATTGCTCACGTGTAAAATGGAGTAGAAAATGTCTATTGTTTAGGGTCCGTGAGAATTAGAGATAATACCACAGTGGAGTGCTATGATGCAAAAAGCAGCTTTTAAAGTCAAGTGATCAAAACACTTACTGAGCTCAGGAAAGTTAATTCCCTCTCCCTGTTCCTTCTCTTCATCAGCCTTCCATCTTGGACTCATGGGTGATTCCAGTGCTCTGCAGAGGTAAGCAAGAGTACTGATAAGTTTTGGGGAAGCAAGGGAGAGTTGGACACTGTCAGAGAGAGAAGTTTAGAGGCCCAGGCATGAGAGCAAAGCATCAAGGGTGAATGCTATTGAGCTCATGATTTGGCATTAGGAGTCAAAGTATAAATGCAGATCTTTTTCTTTTGCTGTAAGTGATTCTGTCTTGTTTGCACTCAGGGCAATTAAAGTTCAATACCTATGCATCCTTTCTGTCCTTGCTAGTACATTTCGTACTTTACCATTGCCAGTGTTTGATAGTGTTATTCTTTTTGTCAAGCGTAAAGCTACCAGAACAATGTTGGAACCCATAGTTGCTCAATATTAGTTTCCCCTAGCACTGCCCAAGGAACTAGGTGCACGGTAGGACGTGAGGGTAAGAGATGTAACAGGGAGGAAAATTGATGTGTATTTATTGCCTATGATGTGTCAGACACTGTAGCAAGTATTATCCATTGATTTACTCTTCCAAATCTTCAAAGTAGAGCTGATAAAATTACTAACAGGTGATTTTACTATGTGCCACATACTGCTGTAAGTGCCTTAACTTGTTTAGAGTAAATATCTTAATTTGGGTTCTCCTCAAATCAGCCCCTGAGACAAGGATTTTGCATGCAGGAAGTTGATGTAGGGAAGTGAGTATGGACTAATGAATGAGGGTGCAATGTGAGTGAGATACTAAGGGGAGAAAGCACGATAATGGCAATTTCACTAGTGTGGGCAAATGGGCCCAATCCTACTGGGGACTCTCAGAGGAACCTGGTAAGATGCTTTTCAGAACTGTTCCACTAGAAAGTGGGGAAGCTAGAATATTTACCCAGGACTCCCATCCCCATTGTTTCAGAGTTGCCCCCAAGGACACCAACGCCAGCATCCAGGCTATGCCTGTGCAGTGAAGCCAGCTTCCTGGTGCCAGGAAAAAGCCCTCAGACTTCTAGAGAAGACAATTTAGGTGTGTGGGATGGGAAGCTGTCAACACCAGCAGCTCACCTGCAAGTAAATTTAGGTAGGCCAGACCCATCCAGGTCTGAACATCAATGCTGCTACACATTATCCCCTTCATTTGACCAGAGAACAGAGGCACAGAGAGTCGAAGTAACTTGCTCAAGATCCCATAGCTTAAAAAGTGGCAGAGCTGGGATTTCCACTCAACATCCTTACTCCACATTTTAACTATTTTACCTCTTAGATAAGGATGATCAAATCAAACACGTTAAGTAACAGATCTAAGGTCACACAGCTCTTAATGCAGTTCATACATGACAAACTTGTGTTTGAAACCATGATCCACAGAGCCAAATGCCTGAACTCTGCCAGGTAACCTGCTATCTCCCCAGCACACAGCTCTAAAGATTAACTTTATCACATCCAGTAGCTCCCTTTACTCGGAAGCAGCTTTCTCTTAAAGCCCATTGGCTCTAGCAAAATTCCCATTTGCAATGGACAATGCCTCATACTTACTTGTACAGCCTAGGCACTTTCTCTGTGCTTCTTTATGGTCTGAGAGCTCTAATAGCTGAAACACAATACCATCTACTTTCGGTAAACACATAACCCCTCTTTACTATTGACAGTCTCTGCCGTTGGCTTTCTCTCTGAGTGGCTACCTTAATAAACAAGCAATTACTGGGAAATGAGAGGATAAACAATGTATTTCTTTGGAAGACTAATAAATCTTTGGCTCCACTTTCTCAACTTTGTATTCTACTTTATTACTCCCATTGGCTAAGTCCATATCTTACCATTCAAGGGAACCAATTGATCAATTAGAGAATCGGTGGCCCTGTTTTGACATTCTGCATTAAACAGAAACTAATTGCCTGATTCCAGATGCTTTTTAAAACACATCTCAGCAATCAATAGGTCTGTGACTATGTTTGGAATAGAAGAGCATCTTCGGGTGGGTCAGATGAAGCCCTCCATGTCCCAGGCATGGTAGCCCAGGTTCCTCCTGCCTTATCCTGGGGAGGTTCTGCTTCTTCATTAGTGCTTTCTTTCCAAGGTTTGCTTGGTGACCATGCACCCAATTAATGCCTCTCACCTGACACCCTAATGCCTCATGGATCACAGGAGTCTAAGGAGCCTCCCAGGTTTGTGCAGTCAGTAAGAAGGAGACGGAAGAGCAATGAGACATCTGGGGCACTTTGCACTTGAGCAAAGGCTGAAAACAGAATAATGTAAGCGGAGCCGGGGGGTTTCTCCACCCAAGAGAAAGCAGAAATCAATAACTGATGATGCTTTCACGAAGCATGATGAAGCGTTGTCCAGAAATGCTTTGAGCAGGCCTCCGGAGCACACACAGAAGGCCTATTGCCTTCTGCAGCTCTTACCCTGGAGTCACCCTGCTTTAATGGAATTCTCATTTTCTAAGGATGCTAATGTCTGGAATATCCTAGTGGCTTTTTCCTTTCCCGAAACTCCATAGGGGATATCCACCAGAGACAGGGAGTCTGCATGAATGCCAAGGTTCTGTTTTTCCTTCTTCCCAGTGTCCTGCATAAATCCATGGAAAGTGCCTGGGTCTGCTGGGGTTTATTCTGCCTGCCACCCAGACCAATGCTATCTCCCCAGCAAAGTGTGTCCTGCGCCCTGTGTGCCCATGGGCTCAGGAATCAACTCGAAGGGTGAATAAATGAGTTTTTCTTTGAAACTCAAAGCAAAGAATGGGACCATCTTGCCTTGCTTAAACTACCTTAAAAAGAAGAAGAGACAAGATTTCTCTCCAAGGAGTCATAGCTGTGGTTCCACAGAGTCTGAGTGGGACTGGCCAAATGTTTCAATGACTAAACACTCCCATCTTTTAAAACCCAAATGCTTGTTTCCATGCACGTGCTCTGAGTAATAAAGTCTAAAAGACAAATTGAAATAAAAACATATCTGTAAACAGTTTATCATGGTAAATTGAAGGCTTTTCAACTCTTTCCATAAAAGAGCCATTCCCTATGGAAAAGCAGGCAGGGCATTCACTTAATGACATCTTGCAGTCTGACGCCTCTTTGTACCATGGTTTATTTGGGGAGGTCCATAGAAGCCACATTCTATTACAAAGAAGGAAAATCTCTCTGTCCTCCAGAGAAACAACTTGTTTCCTTTGGTCTCAGCAGGTCTTCCTTCCCAGGCTCCTCTAAGCAGACATAAGAATTCCATTAGCTACCATTTATTGTCAAGAAGCACCAGGGAGGTTTTCTAAACATGATTGCATGTAATCATCCCAACAACTCTCTGAAGCAGGTATTATCAACTGCAATCAAAAGACGAACAGAATTTCTAACCCAAGTTGGTATGACTCCACACGCCATGGTGCGACCATCCTGCTGTTTTGCAGTCACCACTAGGGTGTCCAAGACAAGAGCCCATGCTAAGATGCAAAAAAAGACACTGCACCATTTGCTACCCTGTGCCCCAAACCATTCCTCCTGAGACAGTGCCTGCCACCAGACAGCAAGCGGGAGTTCCATCTCTTGAAACCAATTATTGGAGGATGTGCTCACATTGACCACAGATGAATTCCTCAGAGGTCTTGCCATCTGGAGACCGGTCTGGCTGCGTGGTTCACACGTTTCCTTCCTAACTCCCTTCTCCAGAGCAGATGCTCGGTGTTTCTTGGCAGGCTGGTGACTCTGGGTCCTCCCTTCAGGGATCAGAGGTCCTGTTAATAATGAGAAAAATTAGCTCCCAGTCCTCCCCAGCTTTCTTCAAAACTTGGGGACATGTTTGTTTAATAAACACTCTGCAAAATAAAAAATCTGTTTGTTTTGTAAAGCATAACAACAGTTCCACTGGAAAATGTCCTCTCTTTAATATGTATCGAAGAGACATGAGACAAGGCACACCCTAGCCCAAGCTTATCAAAATGAAGAAGGTCAGAATTAATCACTCTTTTTTTTAATTCAGAAATGTTTTTTGATTTCAAGCCCATAGATTTGAAAATAAAAAAGTGAAACAAGCAGCAAGTATTTATTGGGGCCTAACATTGAGTCGCCACAGTTCTAGCCATTCTGAGTTCTAAACAAGGCTAACAAAGTTAAAATGAAAACAAACAACACAAAATAGTATTTAATTAAGTGTACAAAATTTAATTTAGTGTAAAAAATAATATTTAATTGTGCGATGCTGCTATAAATGCATAGACTAAGGCCAATGAGGACGGCAAAGTTCAGGGACCTCCAAAGACAAACATGATTTGTCTGGCGCACTGGCCAGAGAACACCAAGAAATTCTGTACTCAAATATCAGCACCCTTCATCCCCATTCTTGATACACAGAATATACCCAAAATATCAATAATGCAAATACTGTCATGTAAATGCTATTAATACAGAGGGCAGTTCCTGTCACGATTATCTTGAAAACTGTCTTTTACTTAATATACTTTAAAAGGGAGAATAAAGAATCAGTAATAGGAATTCAAACTGAACTATTCTTGACAATATCAGAAGTGATGAATGTCATGTTGTAAAAAGTTTGTACAGAATTATCTAGAAAACTCTAGACAACCTGGTTGACAATATGCCATAGTACACGTATTTACTCTTGTTTCCAGAGCTAGAATTAACACTTGGAAGGGACCTGATTTGCATGCAGTGTTATGACCAATACTCACTTATTAGATACGGAGGAATTAGAGAGAGAAAAATCAGATATTTTATTTAAACTTCATACAAGTAGGAACTAGAACACTTCAGGAGCCTGTGGTGTTATTTTTTAATTAAGCTTGATAATAAATATAGAGACCTAGAGTAACGTCTAAAGGGAAATGTGATCTCTCATTTGAAAGGAACTTTGAAAGAAATCAGCTTTACAGAGGGAGGAATAGAAACAGAAACTTGAGGCGGGGCGTGGTTGCTTACGCCTGTAATCCCAGCACTTTGGGAGGCCGAGGCAGGTCGATCACAAGGTCAGGAGATCGAGACCATCCTGGCTAACACAGTGAAACCCTGTCTCTACTAAAAATACAAAAAAAATTAGCTGGGTATGGTGGTGGGTGCCTGTAGTCCCAGCTACTTGGGAGGCTGAGGTAGGAGAATGGCGTGAACCCGGGAGGTGGAGCTTGCAGTGAGCCGAGATTGCGCCACTGCACTCCAGCCTGAGTAACAGAGCAAGACTCCGTCTCAAAAAAAAAGAAAAAGAAAAAAGAAAAGAAAAGAAATAGAAACCTGAAGGTTACCTATGCATCACTAAACTGAGGAACAAATCCTAAGGGCTGAATTCATTTTTCCCTTTCAGATAAAGACTGAAGTTCCTCTAGGTTGAAAACACAAAGATAAAAAGGTTTTTTGTGCTAAAGCAATGGCAAGAAAAAATATAGCATTTGTTAACTCTCCTGCCTCACTTGTAAAGCCTAAATTTAACCTAAATCCCTTATCCCATTGTTTCAGCCCTCTTTCTCAACCTTATTTTATGCATGCAACCAATATTTACTGAGTAGTTACTATGTGCTAAGAGCAGACCAGGAGCTAGGGATGCAGCAGTGGACACGGCAATGGTGACCAGGGCTCATGTTGTGGCCTGGGTCAATGATCCAAAGGAAACTCAGGTTCTGGTGGCATCACAAGCTGGACTAACAGTGCCTGTTTGCTCATTCACAATCATCTGTGGAAAGAGCAGCCGAGGTTCTAGCTTGAGTCTCAGTGTTGACCTCAAATTTCAGGCGTGTCTGCTATTTCTGATGAGGCTCTGGGTGGGCCTCTCAGGAACCTATTCACAGAAAGGATTGAAGAGCTGCTAGGAAAGAATTCATTCTAAAGGAAAAGACAGTCAGGTAGATAAGTATGGCAAGAATTAATTCTCCTTCATAAGCTCATGTTTGCAGGAAAAGTCATATTATTAAATCAAAAGTAAAATTTTATCAGTCTGACTCAGGACCTCTATCTTGCAGGGCTGGTGAGAAAATCCACTAAATTATAATGTGGCTCTGGCCACCCCAGGGTCATGTGGAAGTCCAAGGGTTTCTGAAGAGAACAGAAAATTCAGAGAGTTTATTCCATCTATTATTGCTTATCCCAAAAACATAATGGCTTAAAACAACCCTTTTTTTTGCTCATGGTTTGTGATTCAGGAATTTGGGGATGACTGGATTGGATGATTCTTGCTTCAGTCTCTCATGTGGCTGCAGTCAGATGTTGACTTCGGCTTCAGGCAGCCAAACACTCCACTGGGCGGGATGCCCAAGGTGCATCAGCACGTGGCGGGCTGATGAGGCTAGATGCTTGCTGGGAGCTCAGCTGGGGCTCTCAACCGTGAACAACTACATGTGTCTTTTCCAGGACGGCAGTCTCAGGATGATTGGACTTCCTACCTGTGGCTTCCCACTGATGGTGCGTCTCAAGAGAACCAGGCAGAAGCTGCACAGCCCTAACCCTGAATGTCATGCAGCATCTTATGCAGCATTTTGTTGGTTTCAAGAGTTATATAGCCAACCAGGATTCAAGGGCAGGGAAAACAGACCTCACGTTTTGATAGGAGAGGCAAGGTTGCATTGCAAAACAGCTTTCAAGATAGGAGATACCATGGCCATCTTTGGAATCTGCCCCTGAGGATCACATGGTCTTGCAACACAGTAGTTAGTTTTTAGGGTTCACCCTCAAAGATGAAGAAGCAGGTAACTTTATGCTTCTGAGTTAAGCATAGGTGTGGGAATTGCTGTCCAGGCAGAAGTTCTGGTGGGAAGAACATAAAAACCCTTAGGTACACCAGGTATGTCTCCTTTCTGAGAGTCTCCAACCCCGCTGAGGGCATTGCCAAGGAAAATCATCTCCCTGGGGCCCATAGGTATCTACTGCCCTTCTGACTTAAGAAATATTTCTCCCTTCCCTCACTACACAGCATAGTCTCTTCCATGAGTTGAAATTTTTGAAAATGAAAACCAGGCAGAAAATTTTTCTGGGAAAACTTATCTTTCTGCTCTGCAACCTCCAAGATCTGGGAATATCAAGGTCTGGCTTCTTGAGATGGAGAAGGGGAGAAATAGCAAAAAGAGCATTGTCAGAGGGCACAGGGATGCAAAGAACAAGATGGTGCCTGTCACTGAGTGGTCCTATGGGAGGGCCCCCATGGGTTCACATTTTATCCCAGACCAAAAAGGAAAGATGAAGTTATTTGACTTTGTGCGGTGTTCCTTAAACATGTCAGAAGAATATAGGAGACCACAACATGTTTTATTCCTCAGATGATAAGGTGTAAAAAAGAAGGAGGAGCCTCTCCACTCTGCCTGAAAAAGTGTGGCTTCCACATGTCATGTCCCAGAGACCTCAAAATCACACGGATATCTCAAGGGCTCCCAGGAGGAGAGAGCAGCTATCACCCAGCTCAATGAGGAGGTGCTGCTGGCATCTAGTGAGCAGAGGCTAGGGATGCTGCTAAACATCCTATAGTGCTCAGATCAGCCCCATAACAAGAAAGAAAGCTTTAACTCAAAATGTAAACAACGACGAGGTGGGGAACTTACCATAAATCAATCCAGAAACATTTTGGGGCCAACTTTCCTAAAGTGCCAGAGGTGAATGTCTATGCTAGGGAAAGCTCTTTATAGTTTCCTAGAATAGACATGGGATACCCTGGGATGTGTTTTCAGTTCGATTCTCTGTCGTCTTGGGACTCCACTGTGTGCAATGAGTCTTGAACCTTTGAGAATTCTTTCTTAAGTCAACTCCAGCCAAACCATCCTCTCTCCTCTCTGTCCCTTTCCCTACTCACCAAGGCTGGATTTTCTTCATCGCCCTCACTCCTGAAATCCCAGTGCCAGGTGGCACCTCTTGCTTGTCTAAGTTATTTGCTACCCAGTGTATACATGGTGCAAAACTTTGTCAGATGTTGCTAGAAAAAAAAAAAACCAGGTGAAATGTGTCAGTCAGCAGTCACTGCCTAATTTGCCTTCTCTCTATTGTTCTTTCTGCCTTGACCAGGGAGCCCCTTATTGGCCCCCTGTGTTCTCTATGGGACTTGGGCCCACCTGTTCCTCCAAGTCAATCTGTCTCCATATGATACTCTTATACACAGTTTTGTTTTACTTTAGTACCAAACAACTTTAACACAAGGCAGATTGGTCCAAGTGTTATAATGTAATAAGGTAACACTCAAAGGGCAATGTGAGAATTGGTAGGAAGAGATGAATGTCAACTGGGGTGCCTTTAGCCTGCTAGGAAATAAGAAATAAACAACTGACTCAAAGAGTTGCATTGGCTATTTCATATGATAACAATTTGTTTTAGTAAATTATCTTTCTTAGAACACAAAATGGTCCCCTAATGGCTTGAAAGATTTGAAACACTTCCAAAGCATTAACATTTTTCTGTACTCAGTCACTGGGAGGTCTGGACTTCAGACCTTATCTTGGCCAACAGCCAGAGGGTACCAACTTAGAATGACTTAGATTTGCAAACTCTGTAGTTACCCAAACAGGTTGGCCTCAGAGGTCAAGATATGGGTTCTGTCAACATCGTAAATTCAGATCCCTCTTGCGTGTACATATAGCAAACATATTTTCCCACACACGCTTTCTCATTATATGTTTTTTGGCTTCTTTTGTGTTTTGTGTGCATTTTCAGTTCTATCATGGTAATGCCATCACCTTCTCTTAGAGATGGCCACTGGGAATTGTATATGGTGCCCACTTAAAAGAAATGATGTAACAAAGAGCCATATCCTTGA